AAAGTCTTTCCATTCTACCATACAACCATACCTGTATATCTCAATCCATGCTTGTGTGACATCCACTTATAATGTAAACAAAAGTTTGAAGTATATATTATTTGAAAGGTGTCTAGAATTTATTTATGTTGTTCTTAAATCAAGAGGTATAGTTTAGCCTGTATTGTGTGTTACAACGTACTGATATTTCTTTTGCTATAAACATGTAACTGCGTTTCTACAACTTTAATAACCCGGAGTAAATACTGATATTTATTGGATCGAACTTATTAGATAAAGTCACATAGGTATTTTGAATCTACACAAGGGTCCAGGCAGCCAGACAGGCTTAGAGAGGGGTATGCAACCCGTACACTTAGGCTACTGGGTATTTTATTCCAGAATTTTGGACCGGCTACGCTAAAAGACCTGTTAGCAAAAGATTTATGTTTTGTTTTGGAAATATAAGATCGATTTGGGTTGGAAGTCAGAGGGAAATACTATTCAAACACTTAAACAGTATAATTTTATATTCAGCACGGACATGTATTGGGAGAAATGTAATTGTTCAGAGTTCATATGAATTGGAAAAAAATTTGGCTTGTCCAAGAATCATTTTAGCAGTGAAGAGAACCGATGACAGCTTTTCGCAAATTCCCTAAATGATTATTACAATAGTCTAAATGTGAAAAATAACAGCATTGGCTAATTTTAACCGTGTTGGTCCGCCTAACAGCCTCCCACTTCCCTTATATTCAACAACGACAAAATTGCAAATATGGAATTTTTATCCACGATAACTCCAAGGATTTTGACAGATTTCGGTCTCTGCATAAATACATAGATAATGTTGCTATAACGTCATAATGGTTACCGCAATCATGTCAGAATTCACATACTGAAAACAACTGTCTGAGTTTCTATTTATTTATATGCGTTCAATGTGTAGGATGTTATGTTTTTTTATTGTATTAAATGGAAATATATTTTCGCAAGAGTTCTTTCTAAACATAAAAAACCCCATTAAAATAGCAACGCTGGGTCATCATAATACAAATTTTTCTGTCGCTAAAGGACGTATGCGACATTATTTTCGGTATATAGTAGCATCCGCAGTTTGGCAATGAGGAGTTCGGATTAGACTGGATTTGGGGTGTGGTAGGGCGAGATGTTGAATAAGTAGAACAGCTTCGTTCTGGACAGTAGGCCCGCAAAATCTCCACTATTTCTAAACTGTGCTCGATATCCATTGAACAATCCTTCTGAGTTCTCATAACTTCAACCAAAATCTACCGCCATTTACCGATTTCGTAAGTCAAAAAATAAACGAGGAGATGCAAATTGAACTTTAAAACGACTCTACAAGTACAATAAAACCAGTTGATCAGCGTTCATAAAACGTTGACGAACGAAAGTGACCACACGGAAGGTAGCGTTAGCTCACCCCAATTGAGTCCACATAAAAAATATGACAAAGAGAAGAAAGCATTTTATTGTTTACGAAAGCTTCAAACAGCCGGTTTACATTTACCAAATCTCTCTGGTGGATAATGAATGGGATTAAGTTCATTGGAAGGTGAACATTTCAATCCGGGTCCGCAAGGACATAAACCATAGTAGTTGGGTGTGGTCGGATCATACTTCAATCTTAGCTCACACCATGGTGCCGATTCTATCTTGTAAGGTAAACAGTATTTGACGTAAACTGGGAAATCTATCTGACGTTTACCTAAAGCTGGTGTGATAGAACAACACAACACATTTGTATTGTTACAATCAACATTTGTACGACAATGTTCCCAGCTGGTAGGATGCCACGAGTTGTCTCCCTAAAATATACATAATTAAATCGGTTCAAGAAATGTAAAACCCATGATGATGATAAGAGCTTGAACAATATATGCTTTTGTTGTACACTTTCTAATGTAGATTTAAACCTTATTGTCGGAAGGCGTGTACAAAACCATTTGGGGGGGTGGGTGGCCGAATAGTTAACGCGTGCGCGATTCATAATCAGGTCTGCCATTGAGTCAAATGGCGTGGTTTCGATTCCCCGCTTGTACGTTGCAAGGCGTAGGGTCGCCTGTCCATCCTCGTGCGTTAACTCCGGGTCCTCCCACTGATAAAGACCCCTACGCACAAGCGAAATATTGAAATAAAATTGAATCATATAGTCCCGATATGAATTTGTTTGTGTCGGGCGGACGTTAAACCCCATTATTCTTTCAACTCCATTTTCATCATAACGTTTAAAAATCATGTCCGGTATCTCAATAATGATTTTAACGTGTTTAAGACAAGAAAAATAGACATTTACCTCTACGGTGACGAACCAAACAGTCAAAATAGAGGCTATAAAATATAACATTTTAGTAGGTGCATATATTATCACTGACTATAATGCGACAAACCTGTCACGTTTTATTTTTCCTTATCTTAATTCGACCTACTTATTTTTAAAATCTCCAGCCTATAAACTTGTGACACATCACACTACAAAATTTTTGTTTGTCCACAATTTTTAAGGGGCTGGGGTGGGGAGTTTATTGTTGGTCTAACGCTCGCACCCTTAAAATTAGGAACTTCTTTTATTAGTGAGCCAACACCTTACCCAGTGGCTCCCAAACGACATTTGGACACTACTTTTTTGACTTCTTAGTGTGTGTGAAAATCACTATAGCCAGGCAGCTTTGGAGCAATAAATACAACCTACTACCCTTGCTCTTCATAAAAGCGCAAGAAATACTTTCTACTACGCTAGCTCTTCATTTTGGATAAGCACCATACTACCTCCAAATATGGTATTGCAAGCATTATTCTCGGCGGGAATATTGAAGATCTAAGAGATGGCCACCATAATAAATTTGGAGGAAGTAGTGCCTTTCTAGATGATATAACATGTAGGTTTGGCAATACTCTAACTTTAAAACTACATGTAGTTTGAGCTTGTCAAATACCAGTGATCCTCACATGAGTCCAGATTTACTCTGGATTTCATCGATAGGCGTGATCGCGTTTGGGAGGTGTAAATGAGCGTCATGCTAACGTTAACGTCAGACAGCATGACAGATTCGGGCGTGGGACTGTTATGGTGTGGGGAGGAATCACCATGACTGGCAGAACTATGGTGGCTGAAAGCGTCCATTTAGATCGGCGTGTTTCTAGATACAACGCGAGAGTCACCGTTAAGCCAGCACGACCTTATCGGCGACCCGCGACTTTCACAAAACGAGAGTCGCCGTTAAGCCACGCGCCGAAAATGTCGCCGAAAAAATCGGCGCTTTTTTCGGCGCCTTTTTCGGCGACTTGCTTAACGGCGACTCTCGCCTCGGATGTTTATAGTTAGTTACACGCGCAATGGCTACATTTTACGCACACAGATCACCGAATATTTCTACGCTGTCACCCACCAATGTAGGGCGAAAGTTATTTTTAGTCTTTCTCTCCCTTTCCCTTTTCCCCCTTTTGCATGGCGATTTTTGGTGTAGAATCGAAGAAAGGGGGTTGAAAATACATTTTCTGCCAGGTTTTGGTGAATATTCATGATTTTGAGAGGTCGGCTAGGTTGAAATGTAGGGCCGAAAATGGCATGTTTACATGTCCCTACTTCCAGCTTGTGTATTTCAAGTTTTTCATGGTAAACCCCATACATGCTTTTTTGCAAGAATTTGCCACATGTTGCTCCATCTGTGGCAGAAAGCGTTCTACCCAACGAAACTTTAAGAAAAAGTTAGAGCCGGTCTAAGATACGAGAATTAACATTAAATCTATGGGGAAATATTTAGTGATATAAAAACGTGTACATTTTAAATCTAATTCCAGTGTAACTAAACAGGTTTTGATACACATGTCTGTAACACTCATAAATTTTAATTTGCCCTAGTGTCACTGAAAAAGTTGATATAGCTCGACAGCCCAAACTCATCCAAAATCTCCTCCATTCTGATTTTATATATACAAGTAAAATGTAGCCATTGCGCATGTAACTAACTATAAACTTCCGAGGCGAGAGTCGCCGTTAAGCAAGTCGCCAAAAAAGGCGCCGAAAAAGGGGCCGATTTTTTCGGCGCGTGGCTTAACGGCAACTCTCGTGTTGTGAAAGTCGCGGGTCGCCGATAAGGTAGTACGACGAAAAAGTCGCCGATCGGCGCTTTTGTCGTCGTGTTGGCTTAGCGGCGACTCTCGCGTTGTATCTAGAAACACGCCGATCTAAATGGACGCTTTCAGCCACCATACAGAACGGACTTGTATAATGTTCAATGAAGGGTCACTGGTGTGTACTACCGTGACCACATTATGGCACCGATAGTTCTGCCCTTTGCTCAACGTGCACGTCGACGTTTCATCTTTCAAGATGATAATGCCCGTGTCCACCGCGCTCGGTGTCGTGAATGACTACCTCCAGCGTCACCATATTATGCCTTGGCCAGCCATGAGTCCTGACCACGACAGACGTGTTAGTCGACGTCGACGTCAACCGACAACACTGCAAAAATTGGCCGTGGCACTGCAAGAGGAGTGGGTCAGATTGCCCCAAATCCTGATTGGACGGCTGATTAGGAACATGCCACGACGAATTGCTCAATGTTTGAGGATTGGTGGAGCAATTACTCATTATTAAGACAAAAATCAAAAACGTCCATTTTCACTTTTCACGGTGTATCTCTTTGCGAGTGAAATGGGGCCGTCAGATAAGTCTCCCATATGAACCGTTTATGTTCATATGTAGGCAATTGGTCTGTTATTAACATACACTGGTTACCTATAATAAAAACAGCAGTGCATTTCCGCAGGTTTGTATTGTTTCTGAATATCCCCTACACTTTTTGAAGAGTATATATATCAGAAACTACATTCGTGGCTTCGAAATGTGGATAATAAGTTTTCGATTGATTATATAGTCTACTGTTTTAAAACACAATAAAATAATCACAGCAGTTTTATGGAAGGAAACTACTGTAATTTAATCTGGACTAGGGTTCTACAATAAGTCGTTTTCAGACATAATACTGATACAGGTGTTGATTGTTGTCGTAGTTTATTACCATTTTAACGTCCAATACATTGGCTATTATGGACATGTTGATTTAATCACAATTATTTACATATAAAGGAGGCATAAAAAGGGTAAAATCATAAAAACATTCTTGTATGTAAAAATGTGACTTTAAAACTCGGTTATAAGCTATGGATATTTATTAATTATTTTACAGTTTATAATTATCATGATACTGTACCACAGTAGAATTTCAGTTGAGTAAAATCAATAAATTATGTATCAATTAAAAGTAATATATAAAATTATTTAGGAAATAGTTATAAAGATATTTGGAAATAATAAATGTAATGGATAAATATCAGTTATAATCATCTATTTCTGGATTAACTGGTCGTAGAATTCTTTATTACTGTCCATTAAATTTCTGTTGCTGGAAAGTCAATTTCATTATCCGCTAGCAAATAGACTGATTGGTTATTGGCTCAATTTTAAATTTAATGTACTTCATAGATGAAACTGAAGATAGTGGGACATTATTGTCTGTACACAAAACTTGATAAAGACAAAAGATAACTGTAGAATTTCCTACAGAAAACACTATAAAAAATCTATAGAAAACTATACAGAAACTTTACCATAAATCTGTAGGAAAAACTATAGGTTCTGCATTACAGTAACGGGAGAATGATTGGGGCCGCTCTGTAGAAAACTATATAATTTCAACCTATAGAAAATGAGATTGACCGCAACTCTAGAATTTTAGGACTGTTTGCTAAGGGCATACTTCGACTAAGAGCCGACAAATGCCATCGTTAGCCGATAACGGGGCTCAACAACTTCGTTAAATACTGTAACAATATGGTGACTGAAACAATATTGTTATCTTTACAAATTATTGATTATAAATTCATAATCAAGAAATTTAGCAAGTAATGCAGGTTATTTTGATACGTTAACTGAGCTATAGATTAAAGATACATTATGGGAGATTCCTTAACGAGTTGGCAGTTCTCACTATAATAGTTAAAAACTAGATAATGTAAAGGCAATTTGCTGAAAATTTCATTCAAATTGATCCACTAAGAACCGAGAAAAAAGCGTTTGAAATTTTCGCCTAGGTTCGATAATTATTACTAAAGTCAGTACGATAAACAGCATAGTCTCGATTATCCATTTAATCGTTAAATCGCGAAGGAAAGTTATGCAGTAAATCGGCTGATAATCCACTAAAGATCGCAGGCTAGCGATGCCATCTAGAGTTGATTATGGGCTGGAGAGGTTAATTAATGTCTAATTAATAATTTAGATAACATTTCAGGCCTAAAGAAAGACCTGCGATAGACAGATTTAGCTCTTGCATAATGTATGTTTAATACACATGTTGGTCATTTACATGTTTCTATGTTATAAAATGTATATCATATCTGTTAACAAAGTTAGGTAATAATCCTTGCCAGTATGCAGGGTATGGTGAAATATAGCTGTTGTCAGTCTATGACGTAAATCAATTAGGGGTAGGCACCTATAAAAGAGAGAGCTTAGGGCTCGAATGATAAGACACCAGACAACCATTGTTTCTGAGAAAGCCAGTATGTAGAGGTTTCCATCAGCTAACTCGCTCTGGTGTTTGGAGGGGTTTGAGAGAAAGACGTGTAATTTTAAATATTATAATGTAGACTATTGCTTAACTGATGTAACATAAAAACGTTCAGATAAACTATTGTTGTTCCTGCTACATATTTGTTACATATTCGATTTCGAAATCGTGAGAAAACACTGTCAGGCCAAAACTAAAAGATATGTAGCCGGACGGATAGTGCTACAATACAACGGCAAGTTAGCGACATGTTAAAGTTAACGGGGCTTCCAGCGACAGACTTTCTCTCCGTTAAAGTCTCTACGATCCGATTACTCCATGTTAACGAGTCGTTATAAATTAACAAAGCTTTAAACAACCCCAGGTTAATATCTGTTGTTAAATTTAATGTTCTAACTGCTGACCAGGCAACACTATGGCGTCGGTTATTTTTAAGGTGTGCGGATACAACAAAGTCAATATTGGTGAGTTTGGGCTGATGTTCTCTGATTGATGTGGTTTTCTGTTGGTCGGCATATCCTTTCGCATAGAGGTACTGATGGCCGAGATTTACCATTTGCATTGATGACGTCTTTGATTAGGGTACCTATGTAGAAACTGGTGTCTTTTTCAGTTGGCTTGGGGAGTTTGAGGATTTGATATGATAGCTTGTTGTCCATGTGAATGGAGATGCGAATTTGTGATGATTTACAATAATATTTGCATTTTCAATAAAATTGTATACGGCTAAACGATTCAGATATTGAAACAAAAAAATACTTAATAGATCTAACGTATTCTTTAAAACATTTTGAGAACCTGCTGATAAGTGGTAAATGAAACAACCACTATACAATAGAGAACATGCACATTTTTCCGATGTTAAAATGGTTTACGACCAATAATGATGTCATGATAGTTGAAACCTTCAATTGTTTTTGCTTCAATATTTCTGAACCCGTGACTAAAAAGCAACTGTCTATATTCTGTCTGAGTTCTCTCTCTTCCTTTGCACATTAAACTCATGGAAAGATCAAAGAGCACGCTCGTCTCTGGCCCAGTTTTCTCCTCGTTTAAGAACTTTTCTGCCAGTATTAATGCCCCGCCTGAAAAAGTAAGTAAGAATCCAAGTAAGTTTAATCGCCAATCAAAATTTAAGTTTCATCAATATACTAATAATGTCTGCAGCTACAGGAGGATGTCAAACGTTTATGGTTATCTAGACATCGCAACTATAGTTTGCATAGTATATGTTCTTACAAGCTTTTATCAAATTGTAACACCTCCTTCAAGGTGTTCCGCGCTACCCCGGTCCGTATTAAAATACCCCCCCACCCAAAAAAAAACAACAAATATATCCAACAAAAAACAAACAAAATAACCCAAAAATAAGCCAAAATGAAAATGTGGCCGCATACAAATCAATGTAAAAAAATGGCCATCAAAAGTAAAATATACGGAAAACGGATAAAACTTACCACATGGTAGTCGGCTGAAAGCTTTTCCCAGAATAACATCAACCCCGTTCCTTTCCCAGTTGTGGATAATATGGCTTAAAAGTATTACGTCAGCTTGAGGGAAATTATCTTTGAAGAAATCACCTAAATACAACAGAATAGGAAACTTTAAACGGACCATGTAATATTTAACAGGGTATTTGCATGTCAAAATGTGAAAAGGGCCTTTTTAGTAGCTCTGAAAGTTTCAGATATAACCAGCAGTTGCCAGACAAGATACGCCCACATTTTGCAAGAGATGGACAGAGAACAAGATAAAAAAAAGCGATTTTTCGAACAATCAGGGGCCATGATCCAGGAAGTTATGGTCTGAAGTACGCGAATATCGAAATGGGCGGAGATATTTGGGATATAACAATATATTTTAAGTTTCATCAAAATTGGATAAAAATTGTGACTTCTTAAGAGTCCACAACCTTGGTATTACATGTTTTTTTTACACTATTTGCGTACGAGGGGCGGCTATTTTGTCCGGCAGTTTTGGTCCGGTTTTCACGAAATTCGATCTCAACCGTCATTAGGGTGTAACGGTGATACGTTTAAACTTTTTTTTTTAAATCGAATAAAAATTGTTAGGGTGTAACGGTGTTATATTCAAACGTTTTGTTAAATCGGATAAAAATTGTGACCTCTAGAGGGAGCACAAGCATAATTCAGGAAGTTACTATCCGATATGCGCAAATATCGAAAGGAACCAATATCTTTGGGTTATAAACATGCTTTCAAGTTTCATCAGAATCTCATGAAAATTGTGACCTCTAGCTAAAAACGTGTTTTTTCGTACAATCAGTTGCCATAATTCACGAAGTTTCGATCCGATACATGCCAATATCGAAAGGAGATAAACCTATCAAAATCGGATAAGAATTGTGACCTGTAGAGTGTCCACAAACAAATTGTGGACGGAAGTCCAAACGGACAGGGGCGACGACAATATACGTCCACACGAAAATGTGGGTGAATAAAAACTGAGTTGCTGCCAAAATTGTATACGATGAGCTAAATTTTGTGACCTAATAAACACGACTCTCCGAGACATTACGTGATATTTTCAAGTTCTGAGCTCCGATGTTTCGATTGAAACGTAGTCTCGACCATTTCCAGCATCTATTTAATCCGCTTTGTGTAGCGTAGAAATGAGTTCAGCGTCCTACTTTTCTGCTCCGACTGAGCTAATGAAGACGGGCATAAATCGTTCAGTTTCCTATGAGGGCACTTTTGGCGGTACGGCCTACTCTTATTTTGAATTCCATCTTTCAAGAGTTATTTTACGTGCACGGCAATGAGTACATGGGTCCTTGGGTTTTTCGTCCATCCAAACGATTATACATTGTTCCTTGTCAGACCCTCCGCCCTGCACCACTGACAATTGAAAATCCCGATGATCTTTCTTGGCCAACACCGGGGCGAACATGGGACCTCCAGATTAGCGAGCCAACGTTTTACTCACATAGCCACCGCGGGTGTAGTGTAGACAAAACAGCATTAATTTTGTATATTGTATAGTTTTTGCTTGATTCGAAGAATACCACCTTCAGATTCCTCTGACCTAGAAGCATGAAATGAAATGGAATGGGTGTAACGTCCTACTTTTCTGCTCCGACTGGGCTAATGAAGACGGACATACGCCAAACATTGTTATTAGGGAAATTTTGCCCGGACAGCGGCGCTATGGCCTACTCTTATATCGAATTCCAACTGTTAAAGGTCCATTTACGTACACGGGAACTCTGGTTTTCGTCCCATTTGAACGACTAGACATTGCCCTTTGCCAGGCCCTTTTGTCCTGTGCCACTGGCAAGGGGAACCCACCCTGGAAAACACCGGGACCGAACCTTATCCACTGAACCGATTTGGCCTTAGCCCAGTATAGGAGCAGAACAGTAGGACGTTAAACCCCATTTCATTTCATTTCATTTCATTTCTATCTGACTCTTATAAATGTTAATTGATTGACCAACTACACCGAAATATGCCCCACTTATGTTGAATGCTGTGCCTTTCCTTTAAAACAAGCAAAACAAAAGGTATTCTTTTCATCGATTGGTTTTCGCCAAGGCGGCCATTTTGATTTCCATAAAGACTGCAGCGTGGTTCTCGGTGGTCGCAGGGGGCGGTTGTGAAGATTTCCATGAGATTCGGGTACATCTGTAATTGCATTGGGCTGGGGTGACGGTCCACACAAAATTGACAAGTTATATTCACTAGATTACATATTGGGCAAACAAACTTTTGAAACGTGACTTTAGAGTACCCTATTTATACTCACTGAGCCACCGTGTCCAACTCACTACTCAGAAGGTACCCGTTCGACGACTTTGGTGGCCGTGGAATTACCTTGAGATGCTCCAGTCTTGATTCCCTTTGTCAGTGGTGTATGGAGAGGACCCTGGTTATCCATGTTGGTGCAGAGATGTAGTTCATATACTGATTAGTGTCCCAGCGCCCTACTCAACGAGCCACCATAGCTATCAGTCTTATTGTTCGTGGGAAGAATCCCCTAAATACAAGTGTCTAACGGGTTCTAAGGGAATAATTCTGACATGATAATGGTGAGGTATACTCATTCTTCTGTGTTTATAACTTCATACTTTTAACTTTTACTGCAGAAGAAAGCAACAAAAGTGTAACGTACCCTCAACATATGTAACACGAGATTTCATATCCTCATCTTGTAGTGTCTTTGCCAGTTTAACTGTGTCCGGTAAATCAAAGACTACACCTTTCAAACCAGGGTAGTTCCGAACAAATTCATTTGTTAGATATCCGGAGCAACCTGAAATGTAGTTAAGATTAGAAAGCAATGATAGTGCGGCCCGTGTGTATACTCCATTTTCAGTTGTTGGATTGGGTGCAAAAGGTTCAATAAAGGCACCTGACAAAATGAACCAAATAATGTCTCACTTATTTTCGAGGTTTATCTATAAATATTTATTTTAATAACACTGATCTTCCATACAAATGATTGACGACCCCCCACCTCCTTCACTTATTTTCAAAATGAAGTATGTACACTGACTTGGGAATCTGGTATACATTTATATAGGGTCTTTAAAATCGCGTTCTTGCAATATCGACCCATTGTCTATGAAGATGGTGCGAAAGAGATGGAAATTGTCAGAAGCATAAATATAGCAGATTTTGTATACATTCGGCAGTAATGTTCTTCAAAGTAATTAGCCGCCAACTCAGCTTCCATCAGACAGAGAAGGCCTGGTTATGGCCTGCTAGGAGTCCATATTTAATCCACGGAAGCACATATGAAATGTCATTGGCCGTCGGATATAGACAATGGACCACTCCCTCCCCCTTGTACAGAACTGGAATCATCATTATAAAGAGGGTGGCAGCAGCTGTCCCTTGTTCAGATATTACGTTTCGCAGGTGGCATGAGATGCAACTTGAAGCCGTCATCCAGGCAATAAGGATAAGGGTATCATAAGGTACACCCACTAGAATCACCATGACGTGCTTAAAGAACTAGTAGATCCGTACTTAAAATAGCATTTTTCTGCACAAGAGTTCAACAAGATATTGGACTTGAAGTCTGTGAAATGTAATTTTGATAAAGTGTTCTTAGTCTGTGATGTATTTTGCAACAATAGTTCCACAAGATATTGGACTTGAAACAAATCAAATTATTACAAAACATTCTGTCCAGTCCCCTTATCTCTCTGTGTTTTTGGTCTGTGGTGTTTTTTGCAACAAGAGTTCAACGCGATATTGAGCTTAGAAAAAAATAATTTTTCCACAAATTTGTTATCAGTCTCAATTACCTCCTAGTGAGGTACCACATTCCTGGGCTTTTTTTTTAAACAACAAGAGTTCTACGCCTGGCGTGCACGACCATTCCTGTCTTGTTAATGGAGCCCACACAACCCCCTATATTGTCAATTCACATTGTCCCTGGCGTTGTCATGTAAAATCAATGATAGACAAACGTGAAATAACTAAGCAATCAGTTTTGAGTGTAGCGTCAAGGTTTTACGACCCCCATAAGTACTCCGATAGTACTTCGTTTTAAGTTACATTTTCAGAAACTGTGTACGTGGATGGACACGTTTAATACGCGAATTACAAAAATATAACATTATTCAGGATCACTGGCTCAAGAATACGTCAAACAGTTTTATTGTTCTACGTCTAAAAATATCGCATCTAGGATTGTACCCATCCAAATTAGATCACAATTGGTGACATGATCCCACCTTTTTGTCGAATCCGAAAGTAGGAGCGGTTTAATTAATGCAAAAACGAGTCAAGTAGATGTAGTGCAGAACTCGAATCTCAAACTTGTGAGTCCAGTCATAAATAACATACCAATCGACACAGAATCTGAGTGTAGTCATATTAGCGCCATACAGTTCAGAGTGACATGTTACGTTTTGCGATTTATACTCAACCTTCGTTGTTGAGTACAGAAATCAGATTCGTTGTATTGTAAAGACGAATTGGAAACATTTATTTTGTTTTGTTTTCATTTGCGTTAATGGGTAGTGTTTCGGACAGTTAGTCTTACCTGTTACCAGATATGTATTCAAGCTAAATAATTTATTATTGGTTATTGTCTTGAAGTCATTACGGGTGGAGGGGGGGGGGGGGGGTTATAGTTTATAGGGCTAATGACATTCATTTTCAGTTAAAGGGAGATAAGTGTGTTTCAAAAAAAAAAAGCTTTAGAGATCTTTGCTGTATAGTTATCAATAAACTCCTAAACAAATTTTAAATCTTAATCACTTCTGTTTGTTCAATATCGAATATGGTTAATAAATTTTTACTTCGGTAAAAATCCCCAGGTTTCTATTAAGTTCAAATATATGATAAGTTAAACCAGATTTTCGTATCTTTCGTTCGATGGGGTGGTCCGTGTTCAACCAGCTTGGTACTCTCTGGGCTGCAATTATATGGTAATTTTGAAAACCCTCACAGAAAAAATGCCTTGACTCTCTGAGTGTTAGTTGTATGTTTAGAAAGAAAAGTGTAAATTTTCAGTTGAATAACGTAGGATTCTCCATAGTCATATTACTCCCTTCCCAAATGAATTCAAAGTGTACAGTAATAAATACCTCCAAGATCTAAGAGTGTTTTATGTCCACTGAGATCAAAAGCTTTGGTAATCACTGATGCTGTGGGAGTAATGATACCATCCATTGCTAACATAAAATTTATTGGTGAAAGTTGATTCTTTTGCTTTACGTTTGTTGAAACTGGATTTTGGTTTTTGTCAAGAGGAACCTGTGTTGGTATGTTCTTTGTTTCTAGATTAGTTCTGTTCATTTGTTTTGACAACGATATGATGTGTAGTTCATCCATTTTACCTCGTTCGTAGGCTTCACTTAAGTTGTCGGTTTTGCCTTAAAAAAAAGACAGTTCTATTTATTGAAATCCGTAATCATTCTTTAGTCAAGCGTGTGGTGTGTTCCTTGTTTCTAAATTAGTTCTGTTCATATGTTTTGACAACGATATGATCTTTCGTAGGCTGCACTGATGTTGTCGGTCTTGCCTTAAAAAATCGCAGTTCTATTTATTAAAATCCGTAATCATTCTTTATTCAAGCGTTATATAAAGCAGAAGTCCCTGAATACAATTATGATGGGTACTTACCCCTTTGAAGAACGGTAGAAATATTATCATACATTGTCATAACCATTTTGATCTCGCTATTTACATAGTGTATCAGAGTAGGTTTCTTGGATAATATCAGATATTTACTGGTGGCAGGCGTGTTACGATATACAGTAGAGCCTGCAATAATAAAGTATAGATGTAAACGTTACTGTCAGTGTTTAGAATCAACCGAAAGAAGCATATTTAGATGTATGATGCTAAAGTTCCGCAGAGAATTAGCAGTTTCTTTCTTTCATTATCAAACAAATTGCACTTCATAAAAATACTGTGCGTTTTCGGATGATGCACCACGAGAACATGAAAAAACCGGGACTTTTATTGATGACATTATAAGGGATTCAAAACTGGATGCTGGTTACTTTTACTAACATTCCATTAAGTCATAAAATCATACCATTATTTGTTGTCTTCTCGAGTAATTGTAAACAGACAAGCGTGTTCATTATTCTCTGTAACACATCCTCGTCGTATGCAAGTTTAATAGCCAGGGTTGGAACTGACACCCCGTTACAAGACTGTTCCATTTCCTCAAACAAACCTAATTCCAGTACGCAGCCAAGCACCTGCAACAAGAGAATATCGCGTAATACAGTGAGTCAATAATCAAGATTCACTGTTTGTCGATTGTTGAATATGTAAATTGTCAAGCAAATTATATCCAATTAGACGGAACCGAATTTTTATAGGAAATCAATCACTGGGTTAGTTACCACCGCTAGATAACAGAACTAGCCATTCGAAGTTGATCTATCCATATTCAGTGCTCCGAGATCGTGCTCGAAATATCATTGTGAACGCGATAGAGGCTATATTTTTAAACAGGCCTTTGTGCATATTTGGTGTTGATCATCGAATTATCCGCCCTGGACCCTGAAGAGTTACCGTAATTCTAGTTGCTATTCTTTACTTGGTTGGAAGTCACCGACTCGTCAAGACGCAGTCTGTCTGTGCACTGCTATAGATACAACGATATCAACAGCAGGATGGAGGAGCGGCAATGTTGGATAAATGGTTTTACAATAGAATTAATAGATATAATAAAGAAGTATAGGGAAACCGTAGACATAAATAAGTTTTTCTAGCAGATCCCGGTCGACAATAAACAGATGTGCGACCTTTTGGGGTGGGGCCGACGAGAGAAAATCTAACGAACATTTCTGTACAAAATGATCTAATTGTAGAATCGGCTAAGAAGAGAAGGAAAACTGGGGAGTTTAAGGTATATCTTGTATGGGGTAGCACTGTTATTATTTTGGGGCGTTAGAAACTATTGGTAACGAGGGGTTTATTTGGGGGAGGGGGGCGCAACAGGCGACGGGTTTTATGGCTGTTTACTAGTTTCTCTGGGTGAAGTGCATAATCTGTTAAAATGTCGTGAACAACGTGGAATGGGAAAGTGAACTTAATGTTCTGAAGGTGTTTAGAAAAAATGGCTCACTCCCAAGAAATTGGAAATATTGTACCTGCTGTAAATATTAAAACTTTAACAGATCTAAAACCGGTTAGCGACCGACATAAACTTTGGTATTGAAGAGGCCAGAGAAAATTTTGAATGTGGAAGCTAGAAGAGGGAATTATATGCTAATCATCGTTCTGCGACCTTCCGTTTCAGAGTTTGCCCTCTTGTGCGCGCGATCGAGACTACAGTTTTTAAAGGCCTTTTTTAAATTTGATGGGAAGTATTGGGGTTATGAGAGGAGGAATCCTGTCGATATTCGGCGTGTGTGACCAAAAGAGAGACCCCCCCCCCCAAGAATCCCTTGTTGAAAAAACTTTGAACGCGGGGTCGTGATAGGTCCAACCCTATCGATAGTCAACGTTCCGGAGCCCCTTCCTCGAAAAGGATACAGTTTTTAACCGATTGCTTTCTAGCTTGTGAACACGGCAAACATTAGATATCCTGAAGGCATAAAGGGTACTAAAGGGTACTTATCAATTTTGGCCAACAACCTTTCGGATACGGTCCGACATGTGCGAATATCGAAATGAACCGAGATCTTTGGGTTATGTTATAAACATAAAAAATGTGACTTCTAGAGGGTCCACAAACTTGGTATTACATACTTATACACCATTTGCGTACAAGGAGCGGCCATTTGTCGGGCAGTTAAGGTCGGATTTTTACGAAATTCGAATTCAACCATCATTAGGGTGTAAAGGGGATGTATTTAAACGGTTTTAAAATCGAATACAAATTGTGACTTTTAGTCCACAAGCTAAAAACGCGATATTTCGAAAAATCAGGGACCATAATCCAAGAAGTTCGTTCCGATATGCGTGATTATCGAAAGGAATCGGGATCTTTGTGATATAAACATAAATTTAAAGTTTCATCAAAATCGGATAAAAATTGTGACTTCTAGAGGGTCCACGTACCTTGACATACCATCCATTTACACTATTTGCGTACGAGGAGCGGCCATTTTGTCTGGCAGTTTCAGAAAGATTTTCACGACAGTCCAACTCGACCGCCATTATGGTGTAACGGTGATATTGGATAAAAATTGTGATTTCTAGAGGGAGCACAACCGATCCGAAATGCGCGAATATCGAAGGGAACCGAATTCCTTGGGTTTTAAATATACATTTCCAGTTTCATTAACATCGGATACAAAATTTGATCTCTAGAGTGTCCACAAACTAAATACGTGATTTTTCGAACAATCAGGGGCCATAATCCATGAAGTTACGGTCCGATACATGCCAATTACCTGTAGAGTGTCCACAAACAAATTGTGGACGGACGGACAGGGGCGACGACAATATACGTCTACATGAAAATGTGGGAGTATAACAATATAAATGTCACAAATATTCGGTTAATATTCACCATAACAATTGACAAAATTATAAAGCCTTGGTCGTCTCATAGTTCTAGTCCTACCACTTCTGGTATTATTCGCCACATACGGCTGGCTATCGTTAGGTTGATTCTGAAGATTATAATCATCTTCATAGTCTGATTACTGATGGGCAAACGTTAGCAGTTTCTTTCCAACTGTGGATATATTACGCACGCACTATCCTTACCAGGATCTGACCAGACAATTTGCCCTGGTTTGGCTATATTATCCTTTTTGATACACCCGCATTTTCATGTGGACGGATTTTGTCGTCGCCCATGTCCGTCCCGACGTCCATTCGTTCAAAAATTGTTTGTGGACACTCTACAAGTCACAATTTTTATCCGATTTTGACTTTAAATATAGACTTATCTCCCAAAGACCCCGGTTTCTTTCGACATTAGCATGTATCGGACCGTAACTTTATGTATTATGTCCGCTGGTTGTACGAAAAATCACACCAGAGGTCACAATTTTTATCCGATTTTGATTAAGCTTAACATGTATATTAACAACCCAAAGATCTAGGTTCCTTTCGATATTCGCGCATATCGGGACCGTAACTTCCTGGATTAACTCTTCAAAAAAAGTATGGGATATTCAGAAACAATACAAAACTGCGGAAATGCACTGCTGTTTTTATTAGAGGTAATCAGTGCATGTTAATAACCGGCCAATTGCCTACACATGAACATAAACAGTTCATACGGGCGGCTTATCTGACGGCCCCATTTCACTCGCAAAGAGATACACTGTCAAAAGTGAAATGAACGTTTTTGATTTTTGTCTTAATAATGAGTAATTGCTCCACCAATCCTCAGACATTCAGCAATTCGTCGTGGCATGCTCCCAATCAACCGTCCAATCACGATTTGGAGCAATCTGACCCACTCCTCTTGCAGTGCCACGGCTAATTCCTGCACTGTTGTCGGTTGACGTCGACGAACACGTCTTCCGATCATGTCCCAGGCATGCTCTATCATTGAAAGGTCAGGACTCATGTCTGGCCAAGGCATATGGACAATATGGTAACGCTGGAGGTAGTCATTCACGATACGAGCGCAGTGGGCACGGGCATTATCATCTTGAAAGATGAAACGTCGACCTGCACGTTGAGCAAAGGGTAGAACTATCGGTGCCAGGATGTGGCCACGTTAGTACACACCAGTGACCCTTCCTTGAACAATATACAATCAGAAAGCTGATTGGCCGTTTGTCCTCGATTTCGCAGAAGCTGTGTACGAATGTATCGATCCTGGGCTTGTGTAGTGGCTCTAGGACGACCTGAACGAGGTTTATCATCAACATTGTGTGTTTGTTGGTACCGGTTCCACAGTTGATCACAGACTGTGACACATTAAGCATGCTGGCTACTGCTCGCTGTGTAAAACCCATTTGAAGCATGCCAATAGCACGTAGACGTTCATCATGTTGAAGACGTCTCATTGCAAATTAAACGTAACACACTAAAGCAAAGATACCATAAAGCAAAGTAAGGCAAAACAGTAAATCTTATGCAAGAACCGATAGGAAAGCAAACATGGATAGGATAAACCAGCACGCGGCAGTTTTCATCAACCCTTTCTTGAAGTGTCAAATTTGACAATGACCCCCCCCCCCCCCCACGTGTATGGCGCTATTGCGTGTCACACGTACAGCCCAGTGATGCGTTGGGGCGATAAGTTCTTCATCTGTGAACATACTTTCAAAGCATGTCAAGTGTCCATGACTATTTATCATATCACAGCCTGCATAGGTATTTGCATTTCAATATCCCCTACTTTTTTGAAGAGTATATATTACATTATGTAAAAAAGATCGTTGAATTTGAAATGTTGTATTATATTTTATTCTCTTTTACTTCATCAAATTGTTTTTTCTTCTTTTGTTCTATTTCCATTTTATTTTAATAATATATATGCGTATCTTAACTATTAATTAACATCCCATTGGTACTTTTTAGATGCCCTGTTTGTTGATAGTGGTATGTGAGGGGTTAATAGTCTGTTCGCAATATGGATCTGTCTAAATTCTGCTGAAGATGTGTTGTAGTTTTTCACGTTCACCTCGGATGTTTAATCATAAATCATTTTCACCGATTATATGCTGTTTGAGAGGGGGGGGGGGCAAAAATGAGACCGACTTATGCACAGGCTCTTAATAAGAGTGACGCAGCCACGAGCCGAGCACCGCAGGTGCGAGCTTTCTAGGGGGGTCGGGGACATGTTTGAATCTAGAGTGCCCGAAATGCCATTTCGTGGACTTTGGGAGAAGATTTTGCAGAATTCTAATGGTTAATGGTTAGAAAACACTTTTGAGTAAAATTGAGCTAGAATGTTCAAACTTGGTGTATGTGTTTATTAGGTCAATACCTTGATGGAGTGCGAAGATGAGCATATTCTGCTTAGGGTAAGCAGAGATAAGCAATTTGATTGGTTGATACTTTGGGACACAATAACTTTAGTTCTAATTAAGTGAGAGTGATGAAACTTGATGTATAGTTTCATTACACCAATACCTTGACTAAGTTCGATAATGAGCACTTTCTGCTCAGGGTAAGCAGAGCGATAAGCAATTTGATTGGTCGAGACTTTGGGACACAATAACTCTCCGTCTAATTGAGGTAGAATGTTCAAACTTGGTGTAAGCGTTCATTTGGTGGATGCCTTGATCTAGTTGGATAATAAACATTTTCTGCTTACGGCAAGCAGAGATAAGCA